TCTATACACAATATCACAAACTTGTAATCCCAGCACTCTGGCAACTTGAGGCAGAAGGATTACAAATGAGGTCAGGCTGGGCAACTTAGTGATACTCTGTCTCAAAACAAAAAATTTAAGAAGTGCTGGAGTTAGGTAGCTCAGTATAAAACAAAACAAATGATAACCAAACATTCACATACATATCTGAAACCAAACTGCAGAAAATGTAGTGCTAAGATTACTGAAAAGATTCAGATCACCATATAAAATAAGTTTAGAGGTAAGAAGACAGAAGAACTTAGAATACAGAAACACAATCACAGTGGGAAATTTTTACAGATCATGTACTCAAGTAATGAGGATTTATTTTAAAAAATTAAAATCACAAATATTAAAAAAATCTAAGTTACAGTCTATTGATGGAAGGCACAGAAACTTTTCCAATAACCACAGGATGATGACAGCCCATATATAAGTCGACAAGAAAAACTTGGTATGGTGGTTACAATCCTGTAATTTTAACTACTAAGGAGGCTGAGGCATGAGTACCACAAGTCCAAGTCCAGCCTTGGAAACTGAATAAAATCCTGTCTCAAAATATAGCGGGCTAGTGATGTACTCAGTGGTGGAACATTTGCCAAGTATGTTTAAGACCCTGGGTTCAATCCTTAGTGTTGCAAACAAATAAAAAAACAAACACAGAATCAAAAAATTCTAAGCAGTAATTATACAGATTACACATATTAATAAAACTAAGAAACGTAAGAACAAAACTTGTGGAGGATCACCTGGGCAATTCTTCTTGAAGGAGGAGCAACTGTCTCCATTTTGGCTGAATCTGACCCTATTTCCATGCATTGATATGTACAGGACTTTTCTTTTTGCCTTCAATTGGCTTTAAGCAATGCATATCAGTTCGGCTAAGGTGCTAATGTGTAGTCTTTGAAGTAAGATGACAGGTCAGTGTTTCCCTGCCCCCATAGCTCCCAAAAGCCATGTGTGAGCCAATGTAATGCTCCATGCTGTCAGCTGGAATTGAGCATCAAGACAAAAAGCTATGACTTGCCTTCTAAGGTCAATTAAGACTCAGGACATATGAGAACTTGTACTGTAATGTCATGTACCTCGGTAGTGTCCCAAATTTTCTGATCAAGAAGATTATGGGGCCAAAGAGGAAAGTGATCGATGACATAGAGTGGGCCTAAGGAGAGTCACATGGGGAGAAGATACTCTCTCAGGCTTTCACAGAGAGCACATTGGCCAAGCATTGGCCGTGACTCATCCACATGGCTGCACTGATAAAGGTTCTACAATCTGAGGTACAGGATATCAGGACAAATCCTGAGGGCATTTCACTGACCTTCTCAGACCAAAAAGCTACAACTCTTGTTGCATAGGTCCTGCTTTACCTCGGTCTTAACCATCCAGCAGAAAAGTATGAAGACGAAATTATAAGAAATAAAGCCATGCTGTTAAGTTGAGCTGTGGGGGACTCAGGTCAATAATTTCTGACATTGCCAGTTAAACAGAAGACCCAATGCTATTATGGGCTACTGGACTCTTTTAGAATATTTTGCTGAGTTTACACACCTATAATATTCAATAACGGAACTTCGAAAAAATGGGGTATACAGATGAATGTCCATTTTGTATCTGTGTATTCAAAGTGGTTGGGATAGATATATAGTTACATTCTGTTAATGAATAGAATGATTTGTTCTAATGGTGTTTGTAAATAGGATCACAAGTCCGCATCTTGTACAGCAATTAACCACTAAGAAGAATATATGCAGTGTATTATTTGTTGAGAAAAAAAAAAAAAAAAAAGCTATGACTTCCTGGGGCTTGACAAATTACACATCAGAGATGAAGCATGGTCCCCAAAACATTAGATATGATCTCAGCTGTGTCATGCAGTTTACTCTTTCCGCATGTCTTTCTCTTTGCATACTGCAGAGGTGATTTCAGGCCTCCCAGTAGCCCAGATCACTGCACTCAACAACTTCCATTCTCATGGTCACTTAGCCTCAAGCCACTCTTCTTCACAAATTAATAACCCAGGTTTGGTCCTGGGTTAAGGCCATCATCCTAGCCAGACTTAGGAACCTCTTGATTCCCCAACGACTTTACACCATGGGTTACACTGAAGTGGCAGAATGGAATTAACTCCATGAGATTCCAATAACTTTTCCATGGGATTACGAACATAAACTTCCTGGACTGAGACAAGGAAGGACTCTATACCAACTACCATCATCATCATCATCATCTAGTGTGTGGGAATGTATATTTCTTAAGTTTTAAATTTTTCCTCCAGGGAAAACATTTGAAGATGGTTGTTTCTGTCAAAGCAGATCCTTAGATACCATTATACTACGAATAGAACTCACAAAGATTTTTGTTTTAAAAATGTTAAAAGACTTAAATTTCTGGGAGGCTCAAAAATATGAAGAAATATTTTGTTTTAATTTTGCTCAATGCTTTTATGTCCACCTTTTTATTACAGGAATGTCAACAGCATGCTTGCAGTCATATATTGAAAAAGATAAGGGGGTCTGGGGAGATAGCTCAGTAGAATAAGCGCTTGCCTGGTAAGTGCAAGGGACTGAGTTCAATCCTCGGTTCCACCAAAAAAAAAAAAAAAAAAAAAAAGAAAGAAAGAAAGAAAGAAAGAAAGAAAGAAAGAAAGAAAGAAAGAAAAAAAGAAAGAAAAAGATAAAATAAGAAATGATATTAAGATGATCTAGGGAGAAAGAGACAGACAAAAGGCAAACCAAGCCAACATAGAAAAAAACAAACAAACAAAATGAGATAGGCTGGCTGACATATTTTAGAAAAACAAACTCCATGGAGACCATTTGAGTTTACCTGTTTTCCTCCCTAACTTTCTCATTGTTTTTCATAGAGGTGCCTAATAGAGAATGAAGGCAAACACAATTTATCCAAAAAAACTCCACACTAATAGTAAATAATTTTATTTTGGCTTACAGTAAGACTCCAGATAAAAACTTATATTGAAATAACTGTCATATTATGACTAAATGAAAATGAATGAAAAAATCAGAAATTTCAAATAAATCAAGTATCTGGTCCCTTCAAATAAACAGAAATTTTCAATTAATAATCATAGTAACTGGTAAGCTCCCAACTGCCAAATTAACCAAATTTGCTTTCTCTGTACTACAATATCATTGTATGAATTAGACTGGAGGCCTTAAGAATAACCAACTCCCATTGGGCAGAATACACAGCTGCCTCTCAATTTTATAATGCATTCAGTAAATCTCTCTATTGTAATATGCCCAATGTATTATGTAATAATTGTCTTTCAATGCCAAGAACTACAAATTCACGCAATCTCTATCACCCTTATGAAATCTGAAAGAAGGACACACACACTTAGGCACTTACAGGGTGCAAGGTGCTTTATATTCTGTGAGTCACAGCCTGGGCAATGATCCTGCCTCAGTATAGTAACAGAGGCATTCTCTTTCCCTTCTCTGAATATCTGTAATACTCACTGTCTCTGTCATTCATTTGGTATGCTGTTTTGAAGTGGTAAACTTTTCACATGTATCTATTTATATTTGATATAATAAACCCCTTAAGGGCAACAGTGACACCTTCTACTTACTTGGATCTTTCACGTAACAACATGCAAGCAGATGTTTCTTAAATATTCACTGTCTACTTTTAATTGGTAATTAACTGAGTAATGCCACCAACACAATTTTCCTCAATAATATCTTTAGAGTATGGTTAACTGCTTTTAAGAGTACGTAAACTTCAGAATTTTATGAAAAGTCAAAGTGAAACAAGCATAACAATAGAACTTATTTAAGCTAAACAGATTTTTGGTAAAGAAATCACATCTTTTTTAGATTAATCCTGGCTCTAATCAAAGATCATCACACATCTGAGTAAAAAATAGTAATGGGTGGCCCTAACACTGCTCAAGTTCCTGTCCCTAAATTAGAAAATAACATGAATGACAATGAAACTTTACCACCTGTCCGCAAATGCAGAACCTGTACTTTCCTGTACTCAAACCACAGTTATCCCTACACCTTTCTACCAGGTCTCCATGACTCCTGGCTCTCAACTGTAGCATGCACAAGAATATTCAAGAGGGGCTCCACGCTGAGTTTCTTCTGCTATGGGTCTCTACTGGGGGTGAATGTTTGTCTGCTAGGCAGATTATAGGTGACACCGGTGCTGCTGCTCCAGGTCCCACCCACCCTCTGAAGACTAATCTGACTGAATCCCCACCTCCTTCTGTTGTGTTTCTAATTTATTTATGTACTTCTATTTTAAAGAATGACTTTTTCCATTAAGTGAAACATAGTTTACTTACCTACTATTCTATATGGGTGTTGGCTATATGATAGGAGTGACAAACACCATCTTTAGATGGAGTTTTTCAGCATGACCTAAAATGGTTTTAGACAACCAGGTGACTGAATCACTTTTCCACACCACCATTTGGACCAAGTAACCACCTATCAGGAAGCACCAGACTATAGTACTTGTTTGGCCTACATCCAATGCAGGGTCACAGGGGGCACATGTAGTTTCCTGCATTGAACCCAGAGTCTTTCCTCCTGTTCATCTGGATAACATGGACTTTCCTTCCAGATCTCAGTGCAGGAGCAATTCTTGAAGGGAAGCCCTCCTTTCCTCCTTGTGACCAAATCAGGTCACCCATTGTTAACTCTCATAGTCACTGAACCTCCTTCTCTTTAGCCCCTGTCATGGTTGTAATTTTCACACATGTATACATATTTTATTAATAGCTACTCTCTCTTAGAATATAAGCTCCAAACAGGAAGGAATTTTTTTGCTTTGATATGCATTGTATTTCCAGTGCCTGGTACACAGAATCGCAGCACTGTCAGCTCTCTTAAGAGATAAGTTGAAGTGTTCCTTTTCATACTCTGTCAAAAGCACAATAATAACAAAACAGAAATCTAATCTCAGCAACTAAATACACAAAATAGTTTTTAAAAATTTTAATTTACCTTTTCTGAATAATTCTTGAAGACTTTCGGCACTCTGGTTTAGTACAGCCCATATTTCTTCCTCCTGCAGTGGTCCGCCCCGAACCTCCAGGGCTTCAGCTAGTGACACATGCATATTACCTGGAACAAAGGTAGTGAATATTTGCATCAGCAATTCAGTGATGACAGATGACAACCCACCATCTACCCATTTCTCAATATACCCTTCAATTTAAATATAATTCTACTTTTTAAGTTCATAAATTATAAAAGAAGCTGTGCATAGTAGTGAATGCCTATAGTCCCAGCTACCTGTGAGGCTGAAGCAAGATGAGCAGTTGAGCACAGGAGTTTGAGGCCAGCCTGGGCAACAAAGGAAGACACTGTGTGTGCGTGCATGTGTGCGTGCGTGTGTGTATGTGTGTGTGTCTCTCTCTCTCTCTCTCTCTCTCACACACACACACACACACACACACACACAGAGGCAAAGACATTTGAGGAAAAACTCTTCAAAATAGCCATTTCCCCAAAAGCTACAACTCTTGTTGCATAGGTCCTCTTTACCTTGGTCTTAACTATCCAGCAGAAAAGTATAAAAACGAAATATAAGAAGTAAAGCCATGCTGTTATGTTGAGCTGTAGGGGACTCAGGTCAACAATTTCTGACACTGCCAGTCAAGCGGAAGACCCAATACTATTATGGGTTACTGGACTCTTTTAGACTATTTTGCTGAGCTAACACACCTATAATATTCAAATAACGGAACTTAACAAAAAAAGGGTATACAGATGAATGTCCATTTTGTATCTGTGTATTCAAAGTGGCTAAGATAGATATATAGTTACATTCTCTTAATGAATAGAGGGATTTATTGTAATGGTGTTTGTAAATAGAATATCATGTCTGCATGTTGTACAGCAATTAACCACTAGGAAGAATGTATGCAAAGTGTTAATTACTGAAACTGTCCTACCAATTTGATTTGAAACTGTCTCATTGCTATTTGTTTCTCAATAAAATTATGAAAAAAAAAAAAACATTTCATTTGCTCTAAACCAGCAAGTTCTGCCTAAGAGCAGGAACTGGGGAATGGTAGTGACTACTCCATGAGGGGACAGGATACATCAAGTTACAGATGATGAAACCAAAGCAGCTAGACTAAAAGCCTTTCACAATTCAGTCCTAAGTTTCACTCCATGCCTCCCAAATACACATCAGAAAAGGAGGAGACCTTACAGCCATCACAGAGAAAGTTAGGAAAATATGCAACACATTCTGGAATTAAATATTTCTAGGCCTACACTCACCCTGGGGCTGAGAGCCTGAATGCAATACATGGAGGGAAAGAGGCTTCTCTGTGCTGCTGTTCCTCCCTTTTTGCTCTTGCTGTTTTGCTGTTTTTTGCTGCCATGAATTGCTGCCCTCTGCCATGTACCACTCTGCCTTGGACCCAGCTGAGTATGACTGATGCCTCCACAAACTGTGAGCTAAATAAGCCTTTCTTTCTTAATTTTGGGTGTTGGGTTTTTGTCTCAGTAATGAGAGAAAAGTAACCAAGACAGGGCCCAACTTTATCATCAAGTCACCATTTGCTCCTCGCAGTTGCTTCATTTGTAACCCTGCTTCCCATTTGTGAGTTGGTAATAATAATAATCATAATGCCATTTTGACTATGATAAGAGGCAATGTAACATGCTTTATAACCTAAAACTCCAGAGAAGCTGAATAAAGCATCAAAAAAATGTATCTCTTGATATTTTTACAGGATCAGTTTTCACAATGTTGCTGTTATGGCTTGTGTCTAATTGTCCCCCAAAGCCTCAGGAAATCATAGGTGGGGCTTTTTCAGAGGTGGTTGGACTTAAGAGTGTATGATACTTGGATTTATTCATGGTGAAATTCCACTAGGATCAAGCAACGGCACTAAGAGTAAGGATGTGATCGTTACCTGCCCTAAGTAGCCTAGGAAAGATATAAGGGATAGAAAAGGCAGTGGTCGACCCTTGCCTGCGTTGATACTTTCTGCCCACCATGAATTATTTTTCCTCTGCAATGCCTGTCTGCCATGCCACCCAGCCTTGGAGCCAGCTGACAATGGACTGAAACTTTCACAAACTGTGAGCCAAATAAACCTCTCCTCCTCTAATGTTGGATATCAGGTACTTTGTCTCAGCAATCAGAACAGTATGACAGTTGCTTAAAGTGATATACTGATAAAATTTACGATATTCTATTGGGCCCAGTAATCCCATTTTTATTTTACAAGGGGAAAATGCAGTTACTCAAAATTTTCTTATGTAAATTTTTCTGAATTGACATGACTAAAAAACAAAATTGTTTTTCATAATGATCACTAAGATTTATGATCACACCAAACTAATTTAAGCATAATATATAATACATACCTAATTGTAGACTGAAGTGGATGGTTTTGGAAGTTATAAGGAATTTAACACATTAAATATTGTACTTACTTTTTTTAATTTTTATTTATTTATTTATGTGTGTGTGTGTGAGTGTGTGTGTGGCCAGCTCAGCCCACCAGGGGGCGGGGCTGGCTGGCATGTGGTGCTGGGG